AAATGTCTCTAAACACGGAGAATACCCAAACTTCTTGTGTAGAGAATCCAGAGAACCTTTCATAAATATTCCAAGTTTAACCAAAGCGTGGTTTATTACATTATTTGGTGCACGAGGCGGTTTTATCTCTCCAAAGATAAATTCGTTTTCTTCTCCAAAGAGCTCTCTAAAATCCGGTTTTCGTCCATGCTTGTTGTCATCAGATTTACGTCGTTCTTTTGAGGTACTAGACTCTCCATTTGCCCTGATTTCATCAATGTAATTAAGTAGAAAATATAATCTAGAGCATTAGTAGTATAAACTGAATATGAGATACTATTAATATAAAATTAGGATTTACTTACCACACGATTTTACAATTCGCCGTACTAAAAATTTCCTCCAATATTGAGTGACAGTATCTATGAACAAAAGTGTCTTCGTCCATAGTATTATTAGTGTTATGACTTGACGATATATTTAAAAAACTATATAATACAAGATAACCATGAGTGTATAATTAATGATAAAAAAAATAACGAATTCTCCACTTACAAATTCCTAGTCACAAGTTGCACGCATTAAAAAATACTAGCCTCTTTCTCATCCATTGAAGTATCACATTCAACCCATGTTTGGCGCCACTTTTCTCTCAACTTTTTTTTATCCGTTAAAAGCTATAAAGCAAATTATCATTAATCGATTGCTTATTACAATGTTCTCACTATCCTGTGGAACTTACTGTATTATATTCAAATATGAATAGTCGAACTTTAACCGGTAAGGTTATAGGAGTAAGAGATCTGTGCAACGCGCCCTTCCAAATTTGATTAGTACAATTTATAAATTTTGGCTTATCTTCTTTCACATACATTATTGATGAGAGACACCTTAAATTATGATAAAAGTTAAATAAATGTTGGAAGAAAAAAAATCCAATTACTTGCACAACAAGATACTTGCATGATTTCATCAAGGTCAGTCGCGTATGAAAGTGTAGGATCATTCTTTATTCGATCAACCGTTTCTGTTTGAAATTCTCGAAAATCTCTGGAAATATTATATCCGTTTGCCAACCACTATAGGTAAAACATAATTATTAATGAACATTTACTATAATGAAGCTATTATATCTCAATACTTACATCGTGATCTGAATTATTAGAAATTTTTATCTTATCAACAATGTGTCCCCACGAAAGTATCGTCCTTGACTGCATAAATATTATTCCATGAGCTTGCCTAATTGTAGTCAATTACTTGAAAAACTATTTACCTTTTCCGCTTTTTCTGTAGTATTTTTTTCGACGGGTGATTCAGATTCATCGCAGGTGGTATCGACGATCGAATCTTCTGTTCCGCTGGGCGTTTGTTGTACATCCATAGAGGGAATACTGGTTGATTGGCCAGCGTCAACAACAATTTTCTTACTTGATTTGCTTCGTTTAGGAGGATTAGCGCTCTTGCTTTCGGTATCTTTCATTGACCTACGCTTTCCTGATTTCGTTCTCACATCTTTAACAATATCAGGAGGAATTTGGAAGAAAGTGTCTATCTCATCCTACAGAAATACACAAAATCAATATAATGAAATATAAATTGGATGTGCTAATCCTTAACGAAAAAACTCGTATCCACACCTTTTTTTGAGAAATTTCTTCACGATCTGTCAAATAATCATCACCTTCTGAGAAGTTTTCGACTTCTGCCCTTTGGTTGTCTAATTGCTCTCGTTTCTTAGAACTCTCTCCTAGATGATTAAGTTCTGAATCGCAATATTCTGCCTGAGAATCGTTTTGCATTTTTTGCAATAATTCCCGATGATATATATCATGCATCGTAATACGGGCTTCGGTTATATTTTCAAGTATTTCTGTCTCCTCTTCTAAACGCTAGTTGAGTACAAAATAGATAGATAAGTCAACATTCTGCAATAAAAATTCAATAATTTGAATATACCTTTAACTTTTTGGTGCGATCCAGTTGTTGTTTCAACTTCAACATTTTAATTCTCTCCCAGTATTCTTCAACGGAACGTGATTTATTGTAAGATGGAGATTTTGTAAAATATCATTTGCTTTTTCCCTATATTTTGAACTCCCTGTAGCAACCTCAGTGAGAAATTCGCGAAGTTTCTGTTCCGCTAAACCGCGTTGCAAGTATAATAAATCAAATCTCTTGTAAAAATTGACTGGTGTAAATTGTTCAAATATACTATCCAAGTCCTGCTCATTCTCACACATTTTCAAGGTTTCAGTGAATAG